ACACACTTACTTTAACATCGCCATGGGTGATGTGTGTGTAAATATAGAACGTAACAGTCACGTTGTTACTGACCACGTGGTGATAGTAATACACAGAGGCTACACGTAGAGCAATACAAGGCGTTCCCGGGTCTACAACACATACCTGCAGCCTAATGAGATGATGACGTGTTTTGAATGACTGTCAGGACATGATAGAGAATGGTCTCGTCATACAAAGGATCTGGGTTCAAATCTTGGGACTGGTCCAAACTGTAAACCCTGCTCGTATAGGGAAGTAAATCTAACCAAAGCAGCTGAAATTAATGTTTTGTGTCAAGGTGGTTACCACGTACTAATTTTCTGGTTTCTTGGAGTTCGTTTGTCAAGGGTTAGTTGTCGTTGATGTCGTAATTGTGTTATGGCGTCTCGCCAACGAACAAATATAAGGTGTAAACCTACAATGCTGACGGGCGAAGAAAGGAAGTAGAAGAAATGAAAACGTTGTTGTAGTGGTAGTAGTGATGGTAGTCGATCTGGTAGTAGTAGCAGCAGTGACATTTGTGGTAGTAACATTGGTACGTAGTAGTAGAAGTTGTAGTAGCAGAAGCAGCGGCGGCAGCAGTAGTACTAGATGCAATAGGGGCATGATAGTAGTACCTGCAGCGGTAGCCGAAGTAGTAGGGGGAGTAGCGTTTGTATGTAGTCGTAGCAGAAACACCAGCAATACCAGTGCGGCAGCAGCAGTAGTACTAGTAGCAGTTGTAGTAGTAGCAGTTGTAGTAGCAGCAGCAGCAGCAGCGGCAGCAGTAGTAGTAGTAATAGTAGTAGTAGCAGTAGTAGTAGCAGTAGCAGTTGTAGTAGCAGTAGTAGTAGTAGCAGCAGCAGTAGTAGTAGCAGCAGTAGTAGCAGCAGTAGTAGTAGTCGTAGTGGGAGTAATATTAAAACAGCAACAGTAGTTGTACTAGTTTGGTAGTAGTAGTAGCAGCTGTAGCCGAAGTAGTAATGGGATGTTGTGATTTTGGTAGCAGTAGCAGTAGCAGCAGCAATCCCTCCTACTAATTAACTTCATCTACCCACAAACTACGAACCCCAACAATAAGAGACAACTACTCCCTCAGTGCGTCCTGATACTGATCCAGAAAAGGTCGCCTGTTGTACATCTGTGTATCTTGCCATGTAACAGCAGGAACAGGCACAGTGTACGGCTTTAGACTTTCTCTAGAGTGTGCTCATATTGCATGGTAACTGGAAACCCAACACTCTGAACATAAGGCACGCCCAGACAGATAGCTAAGGAAAGTTCATAATAGTAATTTCCAAACATGCACACAGAAGGCCAGGTTGATAAACGTCATAAAGATACGTGAAGTTTCCTAAAGATGTTTATAATGTTGAGTCTTTTGCCTCACTGCAATGCAACCCTACGTGTATCAATGTCATATGCTTCAGATGGGTTTGTCTTGCTTGCCTACTATAAACCAAGGAAACTATTCTCTGGTAAATCTGTGTCGCCGAGGACGGGTAAACATTGAGACCGGAATGTTCTGTTGCGATAACATGCCTAGGCTCCCCGACTTGGAGATACTGAATCAGGCTCGCGCGTCTGGAGAATATGGTCGTACACACAGAAGAGTGACATTTCTCTTGAAACCGGATACGGCCATGTTGAACGTGATGGTGCTAGGCTCAAATAAGAGACGCCATGTCGTTTGTTTTAATTTACTAGATACTCCAATATCGGGAGGTTAAGAGTTGTTACGCTACATTTATAAGATTGTTCTTATTAAAACATTACAAAATACGTCTCGTTAAATGGTTAATAACTAAGACACGTAAGACAAAGGGAGATAACTGCTGTGGTTATCCTCACTGTCGCGCAACATACGTAACAGCTGGCTTAGCGCACGTGCCGAGTGCTGACCCCTGACGGCAGATTCCAACGATAGGGACAGATGAGCAGAAATATGAGATTTCAAAAAATACGATAAAACTTCCGTCTTGTTGAGGGCGTACTCGGTTCCGAGAGACGAGTGTTTTTGTTTACGCAACGTAAACGTGTTAGCCTCAAAGACCCGCCCATTGAAATGTTTTCAGTCAAGCCGTGTGTGGATGTCATTTTTAGAACAGTAGTATTTTCATATGATCTTTATTTGCTTTCATTTATTATTGTAATATTTGTTCCACAAATGCCAAATGGTCACGTGGTAGCAGGATGTAGGTCAATTTGACGTCCCTATGATCATTAGAAAAGAAATATTTTCTTCCGTTTGTATTGCAATTTTTTTTTTACATAACTAGCATGAGTCTTGCAAACACAATGTTAGTTTTGATACCAAAACGAAAGTAATTCTTGAATGCCAAAACTTACATTTGAATGCACATTAGACAAAACTGCAAGGGAAAAAGAAGTAAAACTTGGATTTCACTGAAAACCTTCCAACATAATAAGGCTGAAAATAGTCTCCAAAACAGTGACTTAATGACCCAAACACAAACAATTAATGTATAATACTTGTATCAAATCGCCTATGAATGACCATTTCTTATTTGTTTTTTTAATCAGCATTATACATTGTTTCTTAAGTTTTGACCGATGGCTTAAAATACAGTACAGACTGACATCCCCAGTTTGGACCACCAAACGACATTGATCAAAGTATGGAAAGTTGCAAGTTAGTCCCGGCCATATTCCCGGCGTAAAATCCCCTGGGAATACATCTGCTTCAGACATCTCTATCTGACCAATCTGCCGGGGACTTTATGACATGGGACTCGGCAAGTGTCCATCAAAACACACTGAACACGTTCAGTTGTAATGTTAAAAGCTTACTGTAACTGTAACGGTGAAGGAGAGTAATGATCGACTTCGGGCTGAGATCGCATCAAAGACGTGGGCCCAGTTTAGCTACTTTAACTATCGGACTAAACCAGTACGTCATTTTGCACTTTAGTGTCCAAGCTATTGAAGCCAATACGTGTTAAATGTTATCCAAGGCCGTTCTACATCCCCCTATTATCAAAACCGGTTATCTCGATTCGTTCTTGCCGTGTTCACTTCTATTCGTTATAAGTGAGTGCGTAAGTGAGTGAGTTTAGTTTTACGCCGCACTCAGCAATATTCCAGCTATATGGCGGCGGTCTGTAAATAATCGAATCTGGACCAGACAATCCAGTCATCAACAGCATGAGCATCGATCTGCGCAATTGGGAACCGATGACATGTGTCAACCAAGTCAGCGAGCCTGACCACCCGATCCCGTTAGTCGCCTCTTACGACAAGCATAGTCGCCTTTTGTGGCAAGCATGGGTTGCTGAAGACCTATTCTACCCCGGATCTTCACGGGTCTATTCGTTATAAAGGTGGTGGAATAATTATATGTATAACATTCGAGTTACTGCTTAAGTTATATTCTTTTACGGAACTCTTCCAAATACACGTAGGATTGAACTAAGTTCAAAGGATATAATGTTACCTGTACGTAAACACATTACCTCGTCAGGTTATTCTACTTTGATCGTTATATCAGTGTTTTGTGTGTGTTGCTCTTTTTCAACTGTTTCAGCCAGGTGTTCAGGTATTGTGGGGAAACAGGAAATTGCATTTTCATCTGCAACACGTAACTTGATACATGCATTATTTCAAGCACTGGTATCTTTTTGTACACCATACGTGTATTTACCGTTGTCTGTCTCATCTTCGGTGAGACAACTAAATGTTGAGTTGTCGTGAAGATAATATCTTTCTTGCCTGTCGGTGTTGTTATTTGTCGTGAGGATAGTAACATGTTCGCTAACAAACGTAGGAAGTTGTAATGAGTATAGCACATGTATGTTGAAAGATTACTCTAAATTATTAACAGATTGTAAGAGAAGGTGAAGGAGTAAGAAATTCAGAAACGAACAGGAAACGAACGATTCCAGATGTTAAAAAGGATTTTTTGTGGACGGTTGCGTATTTTTATCGTGAGACGAGTCCCATGATTCGTTATTTATCGAGACCTTTGACATATTCCGGAGCATCTTCAGAGCACATCTCAAACGTAATACCACATAGGGACAGAGCATAGGTGAAAAATTACTAACATGTATATAAAAATAAAACATCGAGAGGAAATGCAGTAACATAGATCGATCACTGTACGCGCATGTAACAAAATACATGTTTTAACATGAACATATACTCATGCCAATAATGGTTGTCACCCCCTTCAATTTTTTCAATTGGAGAGGGGGGTGGGAGGGGGGTGACAACCATTATTGGCATGAGTATATTTTCTTTATGTAAGCATTCGCATCAATTTTTTCAATACAGAATCGCATGGACGGAGACGCTGCTATGATAAGTCTATGGTTCTACATGTCAAGAAAACCAATTTATGACATGGAAGATATATTAATAATTTTTTTGTATATTTTCTCAGTGTATTGTGCGCATGGGCAGATGTGCTATTCATGTAGTACGGGAATAGACAACGTAATGAATCCCAGCATTTTACTCAGTGCTTGAGCATGCACCTGAAAGGATGCTAACATCGCAGGAAATGCATAAAATGACATATGCTCGGATGTGGAAATGCATTACCCTAAATGACATGTCGTCAATGTAACGATATCTAATATTTAAATAAATGAAACTAAACAATCAAAATATTTATAAAGATACTCGCGTTAAATAAAATGAACGAAAGCGTACAGAAAAAAGGAATTAAACAATATCAGACAACGTTAAATAATTCTTGTATTTTCTTTCATTACTGTCAAAACGCTTCGAGCGATAAGGCGTGTGCCCGTGTATTAAACCGCAATGCGGGGCTCCACATCCAAGCATGCATTCACGTTCCCACATGACAAGCAATATATACCATTTCTCCCGTGCAGTAGGAGGCAACGCTCTTTGTCTACTGAACATGATCAAATACCGCTTCCTTCACCATTTCCTATAAATCTTAGAAGCAGAATAATTTAACAAGTTTGACAAAAGTAATAATACGTAAGAAAAACTACGGAAATCAACTTACGACATGTTTTAGCCTTCCCTTGTCGGTTTCACGGTCTTTCAAGCAATAAGCCAGTCTGAGGCAGGCGTTCAATGCAAGCTTCATGGTTATTTTTAGCACTGAAGGGGATTCCCCTCTTTTCAGGCGCAACATGACGACATGTCCTTACTGGTATATTGACAACTCATTTGCAGGTGACACCTGTCAATCAAGGACGACAGCCAATACAAAAAACCTGGGTATGTTTTCTGAACTTGAAACTGATAACAACTTGAAACTGATAACATTCACCGAAAACTATGTTCACTTGTTTTGAGGACGGCACTTTAAAACTGGTTGTATGGAGTGGAATTATATTACGAGACACTTCCTAAAATTGTGAACGGGAAGTTACTTCGTAAATTAAATTTGTAATGTTACGGAGTTTAACCATTGCTTCTAACACAGACAAGTGATGAGATTATTGTTATTAAATACACAGAAATATAGAACTGTGTATTTTTCTCAGTCGGGGCGGTGGGGTAGCCTAATGGTTGAAGAGTCCGCTCGTCACGCTGAAGACCCGGGTTCGGTTCCCCACATGGGTACAATGAGTGAAGCCCATTTCTGGTGTCCCCCGCCATGATATTACGGGATTATTGCTACAAGCGGCGTAAAACCAAACTCACTCACTCACTTTCTCAGTCAGCAAGTACACAAGTTTTTCCTAAAGGCGGTCAAAACAAAGGTTTGAATTTTGCAGTAAATACCCCAATCCTACAATCAACTGCTGTCCCCTTATCAGGTATACGACATAACTGAAATTCCGTACTACACTTCTTTGTGGATGTAGTTTTATATTACACAGCCTCATGCTTGAGTCGCTATTCACATGTTTGTACGTAACCTTTTTACGTGAGTTTGTACAAACTGTACATTATATTTCGTTTAGTTTCTTTGTGAATACAACGGAGACGATCATGCTCTACACATGCTGTTCATGTTGTTACTTGTCCCAAAGCAGAAACGTGTTTTACATCGAGCTACTAGTACTTGTGGCAATCATAATCTCCTTTATATACTCATATTCAAAGATCATTCAGATAATGTTATTGTCCCTCCATGTCCTTGGACTAACTATCTTGCTTAAGAGCTGCTAAGTAAACAACTTGCTAAAAAACCGTTTGTATCCTGAAAGACCTTGTACACTGCCAATAGTTGTTGAACAATATTCAACTTTCCACCTTTTCATTGTGCATGTTTAATTGTCCATGTTCAGTTTAGGAATGAATGAAATGTATAAGAAATATTGCGCAATGTAAATTGAAAAAGTGTAGTAGGGTACTGCTAAATAACTCTTAGCAATGAAATAGTTTGTGTGTTGATATATAATTAATATAATATTTTCCTGTTTGTATGTGTATATCAGCAGAATTTAAGAATACTGGCTTTTATATATCATTTATATATCCATACCCGTGTTGATATCATACTTCAAGCTAATATTTATAAGTTGACCCGACTAATGCAAATACCTCTCCAGATGTCAATCGACGATGGGGTAGCCTAGTGGTTAAAGCGTAGGCTCTTCACACCAAAGACCAGGGTTCGATTCTCCACATGGGTACAATGTGTGAAGCCCATTTGTAGTGTCCCCCGCTGTGATATTGCTGGAATATTGCTATAAGCGGCGTAAAACCTCACGCACTCACTCAAAGCATATATTCCTACTTGTGTTCATGCATACAATCCTGTATTTACTGATACCTGTAATCCTTCACTGCTAATACACATGACCCGGTTTAAGAAGACAGCACTGCACATGTTTGGTACATGAGTTATATAACCCAGCAAGGTCTCATGCATACACCTCAGCACGTGTTAACATCACTAGCTGAATAACCTTAGAAGTGTTAATACTTATAACTCCGCACGTGTTAATACACAAAACTCCCCACGTGTTAATACAACTATAGATATGTACGTGCTAATATATACAACTCTATCGCCGTGATACACGTGCTGATATATACAACTCTACCGCCGTGATACACTTGCTGATATATACAACTCTACCGCCGTGATACACTTGCTGATATATACAACTCTACTGCCGTGATACACTTGCTGATATATACAACTCTACCGCCGTGATACACTTGCTGATATATACAACTCTACCGCCGTGATACACTCTATACAACTCCGCCGTGATACACGTGCTGATATATACAACTCTGCTGATATGATATATACAACTCTACCGCCGTGATACACTTGCTGATATATACAACTCTACCGCCGTGATACACTTGCTGATATATACAACTCTACTGCGTGATACACTTGCTGATATATACAACTCTACCGCCGTGATACACTTGCTGATATATACAACTCTACCGCCGTGATACACTTGCTGATATATACAACTCTACCGCCGTGTGATATATACAACTCTTGCTGATATATACATACTCTACCGCCGTGATACACTTGCTGATATATACAACTCTACCGCCGTGATACACTTGCTGATATATACAACTCTACCGCCGTGATACACGTGCTGATATATACAACTCTACTATCGTGATACACGTGCTGATATATACAACTCTACCTCCGTGATACACTTGCTGATATATACAACTCTACCGCCGTGATACACTTGCTGATATATACAACTCTACTGTCGTGATACACGTGCAGTTGTCTATAACCCAGTACGTTGTTGTTCATATAAACCTACACGTAATACTGCATATAACGCTGCACTTGCTAATGCATATCACTACATATTTGCTAATGCATATTACGAGATACGTGCCAATGCATATAGCCCTACACGTGCAAATGAACATTACTCTGCACGTACTAATGCACACAACTAGACATGTGCTAATGCATATTACGATATACGTGTCAATGCATATAGCCCTACACGTGCAAATGAACATTACTCTGCACGTACTAATGCACATAACTAGACATGTGCTAATGCATATTACGAGATACGTGCAAATGCATATAAATCTGCACGTACTAATATATATAGCGAACTCCCCACGTACTAATACATATAACCCTCAATGTGTTAGTACGTATACCCCTGCACGTGTTGACACAAACAACGCTGAGCTTCCTAATGCTTGGAAGTCTGCACATGCTAAAATACAACCCTGCACTCGTTTTATAGCCATGCCCCCTTAGATGTTATGTAAAACAGTCCTTTACCTGTTCGTTTGAATAACCCTGCATCTGCGAATGCATAGTTTATACACAGTGTTATGGTAGTGCAATTGACATGAACGTGTAAGTTCATTATAACCTTGCATGCACACAACCTACACCCATGCACGTGCCAATACATAGAGCGATATAATGCATATAAACATGCATGTATTAACATCCCCTCCCACGTGAGGTGGGTATCTACGGCTGCCATCTTTATTTGTATAGGAGTTCTTGTTTTGATTGTTGTTGAACGCTAACTATGTTAAATCAGAAACAAAATGCAGACAATTTTCCTGCCCGGTATATGATTTGATTACTCACAGGTGTTGTATCATGAACTCCATGCTCCTAACGTACCGCTGACTATTTCAAAACGTTTTCCTTCAACTGGCTTCATTCTTCTAAACTTTAACAGTGTTGCCGAAATTCACGATGTCAAGAGTGATGCTATTGTGTGGCGATTACCATACCAACACGATAGCTATCGATCCCTTATATGATGATAACTTGGAGTATAACGGCACACACACACGCACGCACGTGCACACACACTCGCGCGCGCACACATACACACACACACACGCACGCACCCTCACACACATACACATACTCTCTCTCTCACACACATACATACACACAAACGCACATACAAGTAAATATTAGCTTACCTCGTTCAAATTTATAACTTAACGCAAATCACATGAAATGGAAAAAAATGAACAACGCATGAATATACCAACACTTTATGTTGTGTGGTAACGATTTCAAGAAAGTCCGAATGAAATATGCTCATAAGTAGAAATATTCATTAAAAATGTTGCACGTATGTTACTCACAAAAGGGTTAAGAACACCCTATTTTTTCAAATGACCATCGTTACTCTTTCTTTGTCTTGACATATCAACTCCACTCACATATCAAAACACCGGGTGTTCTTTAACTTCGAATTCGTTGGATAGTAAAACTGAAATACACATATTTTAAAATGGGATTCAAATCGCTCCTTGTGACAGAAGTTTGTTTATGACCGTTGTCATGGTTCCCTACATATTTATGTCAAGTATTCGACAAGCCAGTTCAAGTTCCTGTTGGATTAGTATAACTGTGGATACAGAATGGGTTGAACCGTTGAAATTTATTTAACTTCTTGAACCCAATACTTCATGATCTGTACCGTCTTTGTATATATCCGCCAGAACGAACGGTTCTACTGTGTCGAGTATACCGTAAACACTCCATTCTGTGTTATCATGAGGTTTATAGCAGAGCAAGATTCAACATACCCACTGAGTAACCGTGTGTTAAAAAAAGTAAAATATATTCATCGATTTTTTGTATGTGCATCAACCAGTTGAGCAGTTGAATACACACACGATCACAATTGATATTTATAGAACCGATCAGTGTCTGGGTGAACGTCATATCATAATAACGCTGATTGTTCAATACAGGCCGTTTCCCTGAAAAGTCAATGCACATAAAATTACGTCTTTGTAGCGGTGAATAGTTCTCCTCAGAACATCCCCGAATATATTTTAATAACAACGGAGAGTTTGCGAATTGTCGGTGAATGTGAATGGGAAACGAGTTAGAAACATGTTGCGAAGACTATCAAGGTTTGCAGCAAGCTATATCATGTTAATGTGTCACAGAAATAGGACATTATATGTGTTTGGTCGTAATATAAAGGGGCACTTGACGTGTTTTCTGCTGCACGTGGATGTGACGACCCTTATACATGTTGGTTTCTATGGCAGTTTCGGGTAAAACGAGTGTGAATAGTTTCTCTTCAAGGCAACCGTTTTCATTTTTCTAAGGTCTGTTTAAGTTAGCAATTCCTGTTGGGGGCGTTTTCTATGGATTATGAGTTTTTGTGTATCTGGGT